CTGGTGATTGGCCCAAAGTCACCCAGCTGGCTTCTTTGCCCAAGATAGGACTAGAACTCCCAGCCGCCTGGTGATTGGCCCAAAGTCACCCAGCTGGCTTCTTTGCCCAAGATAGGACTAGAACTCCCAGTCGCCTGGTGATGGCCCAAAGTCACCCAGCTGGCTTTCGTGCCTAAGATAGAACTAGAACTCCCAGTCGCCTGGTGATTGGCCCAAAGTCACCCAGCTGGCTTTCGTGCCTAAGGCGGCACTGGAACTCCCAGTCTCCCGGCGACAACCGTGTTACTAATTTAACAACTGCAATGATTCACTTAACGGTGGCGGCCAACGAAAGGTCGTAAAATAGAGCAAACCTCACTGAAGGCACGTTTCACTTAGCAACATGAACGTTGATCGTTGAGGACTACCTGGAATTCATTCAGCCCAAGATGGTGGCTTTAGAGGTGGGATGGGAGGGCTTACAAGCCCCATGTGCTCTACCACAAAGCTGCAATGCCACTGCCCCAACCGCCATTCCTTTTTACCCCCATCGGCTCTTGTTCCGACTCCTGGTTTCCTCCCACCCCGCTTTTCGTACCATCTGGAATTGGGGCTCCGGGAGGACGTGTTCCAACTGGCAGAGATAATCGCAGAAGAGTTTCTCCACCACTTTCACGAAAGCTTCCCCGTAATCCGTTTCCAGATATTTCTGAAAGACACACACACAAACACACACACACACAAAAACCAGGACAGCCTTTATTATATCAGGCCCAGAGGGATGCCCAGCGCACGGGGCTTTTTCAAGAGGCAACTGGACTTGCTGGTTTTCCGGTTAACATACGTGGCACACTTCAAACCCAAGAACACACTAAGGCAGAAAAGCTTGTCCACCCCAAGGATAAAACACCCAGACCAGAAACTTGAGCAACGTGGTCTATCCAATCCAATGGAGTGAGCCATGTGCCGATCTGTACATTGGGGGAAACAAAACAGCCACTTCACAAACCCATGGCGCAACATAGCAGAACGAACACATCGGGGACTAGATTCAGCAATCCATCTGCGTTTAAAAAAAGACACAGGCCAGCTCTTTTGAGCTGCGGTGGCGCAGGCTTCTACTTCTGCTGGCTGCCTTCAATCTGGCAGTTCGAATCTCGCCAGGCTCAAGGTTGACTCAGCCTTCCGTCCTTCTGGTGGTGGGTAAAATGAGGACCTGGATTATTGGGGGAAATATGCCGACTCTGTAAACCGCTTAGAGAGGGCTGTGAAGCACTGCAAAGCGGTACATAAATCTAAGTGCTATTGCTATTTTGAAGACAAAGAAGTCCATATTTTGGACAGAAGGGATTGTTGGGTTGAAAGAGGGGTTAAAGAGGCCATGTAGGTCAAAATTAAAAATCCAGTGCTTGAACACTGGGAATTTTTAAGATGTTAGCTAACCATTTGTCTGAAGTGGTGTAGGGTTTCCTGCCGAAGCAGGGGGTTGGACTAGAAGACCTCCAGGTCCCTTCCAACTCTTCTCTTATTTTTTCTCTTTTTTCTCTTCTCCCTTATTCTCTTTTCTCTCTTATTCTCTATTCTGTTCTATTCTACTATTCTATTCTTATTCTATTCTTATTCTTTTTTTCTCTTTTCTCTATTATTCTCTATTATTCTCTATTGTTCTCTTTTCTCTCCTCTTTTCTCTTCTAATTATTCTGTTCTATTCTATTCTATTCAATTCTATTCTTATTTTTTCTCTTTTCTCTATTATTCTACTCTTCTCTTCTCTTCAATTCTTCTATTCCACTATTCTATTCTTACTATTCTTATTCTCTTTTCTCTTCTTGTCTCTTCTCTTCTCTTCTATCCTATCCTTCTCTTCTTATTCTTATTCTACTCTTCTATTCTATTCTACTATTCTATTCTTACATTTTTCTTTTCTCTATTCTATTCTATTCTATTCTTCTATTCTTTTCTTATTCTATTCCTATTCTATTCTACTCTTCTATTCTATTATTTTTTTCTCTTCTCTCTTCTCTATTATTCTCTTTACTCCCTTTTCTCTATTATTCTCTATTCTATTCTATTCTTCTATTCTATTCTTACTATTCTTATTCTTTTTTTCTCTTTTTCTCTATTATTCTCTTTTCTCTCTTCTTTCTATTCTATTCTATTCTATTCTATTCTATTCTATTCTATTCTATTTATTCTATTCTATTCTATTCTATTCTATTCTATTCTATTCTTCCTCTCTCAACAGTGGGGAAGGGATACGACATCATCTATCTCCAATCTACAACACAGTTTCCTTTCCACAGTTCCAAGAAGGCTCCACACCCAATTGTATCACTTCAGGGACCCTGAAGACACAGACAAATCTCCAAGCCGCCTTAACAACCTGCTAAAAGAATGCACGGGGTTTTCATGGCAAAAATACTGGGAGTGGGTTGCCATTTCCTTCGCCAGACGGTAAAGGACAGGAAGGCCTGGAGAAACATTGTCCATGGGGGTCGCGATGGGTTGGACACGACTTCATGACTAAGGGGGGAAAAAAATGTAAAATTTCTAGCTGTCCGCAAGGAGGAGAAATCCTTCCGTTCCTCCACCTCTCCCATCAGAGCCGAAGAAGCTTCTTGGACAAGAAGCGAAAGGTCTTCAAAAGAAAAACCAGAAAGTCCAGTTGTCTCTTGAAAAAAAGCACCTTTGGGACCTGGATGATGGAGATTAGACACCGGGCTTTGTAATTTAAAGCCAAACACCTGTCCGGCCTCGGAGCAGCCTCTGTCATCTTTACAAAATAGCCCTTTGAAGACGAGGTTCTTAGCTCAACCGGTTCCTTCACTCTCACTTGTTTTCCCTTGTCTGGTTCAAGGGTTCCCTTTCTTATTGGGAATTTTACCAGAGAATTATAGTAAAGAAGATACATATTTGATTATTCATATAATAGCAGCGGCTATTATATTTGCACAAAACTGGAAAGCAGATCAAATCCCGTTGGAAGGAGAAATGATAAAAGAAAATTTCAGAATTGTGCAGAGATGGATAGATGAACATCGAGAATAAAAGATAAAGAGGAGTCGATGTATTTCAAGACATGGCATAAATTTTAAGATTGGTTAGAAAGGAAATTGTAAGCCGCCCTGAGTCTCCAGAGAAGGGCGGCATATAAATCAAATTAAAAAAACAACAACAAAAAACAGTAGAAATGATGGTGATGAAGATTGAAATAGAGATAGACAGAAAGGAAGAAAGAGAGAAATGAGAGAAATGAGAGATACCATATATAGATACTGTAGATAGATAATAGACAGAGATACTGTAGGTAGACAGATAGACAGACAGATGATAGACAGAAACAGATAGATGGATGGATGATAGGTAGTTATAGAAATGATGGTGATGAAGATTGAAATAGACATAGACAGACAGACAGACAGAAACAGAGAAATGAGAGATACCATACCAAAAGAAATGATGGTGATGAAGAGAGAGAGTGGGGGGGATGGAAGATGATAATGGAATGGAATGGAATGGAATGGAATAGAATAGAATAGAATAGGGAATGGAGTGGAGTGGAGTGGAGTGGAGTGGAGTGGAGTGGAGTGGAGTGGAGT